CTGGGGGAAAGGGATGGAAAGATTGCAGGAGCTGAAGAATAAGGTGGTATGCCATAAAAACATGTCAAATGGATACAAAAAGGCTGCTGTACTCATGAACTCACTGCAATTATGGTAACTGGCACAAGGCAGAGTCTATCAGCATTCCCTCAGGGTTAGGGGAGGCACATGAGGCCTCATTGCCCCATGAGAGACCATTGGCAGCTAATGACTGCTGGGGAAGGGGGTGTCATTTTCACCAGTGGTGTACCCATCAAAAATAGCCTATGCTCATTCAAGTAACCTTAATTAAACTCAGTGAGTCATACAGTCACACAAAACACACAGACACATGCACGTGCACACACACATTCTTTTTAAAAGGCATTTTATTTGAAAGGAAACGTCTTGGAAAGAAGAGACAGGAGATAAGAATGGATAACATGGGTAGAAATGACTGGAACATACTATACATACACATATATGAAAATGTCAAAGAATAAAGTAATTAAGTTAAAATTCTCTAAACTATTGGTCCTGTGGAGGTTTGATGCCCCAGTGTAGATGTTAGAGCAGTAAGGTGGGGGTGGGTAAGTGGGTAGAGGAGCACCCTCACAGAAGCAAAGGAGAGGGGAGAGAGGAAAGGATGGGGTGTTGCCAAGGGGTAACCAGGAAGGGGGATATCATTTAAAATGTAAACAAATAAAATGTAAAAAAATTCTTTAAACTAAATTAAAGTTTAAAAGTCAGACATGGTAATACAACTTTATAATCCTAACACTGGGAACGTGGAGACTAGGATTCTGTGGTCAGTTAGCCTAGCCTAACAGTAAGTTCAACTAGCCAAACAAGTGAGAGATGCTGTCTTAAAAATCAAGGTAGACATTATCTGAAGTCTCTTTTGGCCTCTGACTGCACATACACGCGTAACCTCTATCACATAAGCACACACACATGCACATGCACACAAATGTAGAATAGTTCCATTTCAACACCTTTAAGATAAAACTTGAAGCTGGAAAGGTATTTTTATAATTTTAAAGAGAAAAGTATGAATAATATGTATAGTTTAATCAAACTAGAAAAACATATATAGGGCTGGTGAGATGGCTCAGTGGTTAAGAGCACTGACTGATGTTCCAGAGGTCCTGAGTTCAAATCCCAGCAACCACATGGTGGCTCACAACCATCTGTAGTGAGATCTGATGCCCTCTTCTGGTGTGTCTGAAGACAGCTGCAGTGTACTCATATACATAAAATAAATAAATAATTCTAAAAAAAAAAAAAAAAAAAAAAAGAAAAACATATATATGGACATAAGAGAAAATAACTTACATTAGTTTTTAAAAAGAAATGGAAATCTTCTTATATCAGCATAAGAGACAGACAAAAATTAGAATTATGTTAATACAATTTGTCTGGTTCTGAAGATCGTAATTTTTACATAATTATGAAGTAAATAGTAAGTTTTCAGAATCTTGACTTGAAAGATAAATAAGCAAATTTAGCAATGCATACTGATCTAGTGGTTGAAAAACCATAGAAATTGAATTATAGATTTCTATTAATAAACACAACAGAGAAACATCAAAACCACATTAAGAGGCTACAATTAGTGATACAAAGAATGTGAGATGCTCTGTATCTATATCTAAATTACTAAGGGAAAAAATGAGATGGGAAAGGAAGCTACAGACTTTAAACATCTTAAGCTAGTAGCTGATCAGTGGTACAGTATGTGCTTAGGATGCTCAAGGCCCTGGGCTCAATTCTGGGCATCCAAAAGTTTTATAGGAGACACATAAACCAACTGGCATGCATGGAACTCATGTGGTTCCAATTTGATTGATCAGTTTTTAAAAACAAACACAATTAGGAATATTCAAACACCAAGTAATATCTGAATACATTTATAAGTGTCACAATAGCGTTTTGGAAGAAAATTAAACTAATGCCTGGATCCTATGATACATAACTTGTATATATATAGCCCAGGCAATTTTGTGTTGTTGTTTATCTGTCTGTTCTGAGGATGGGAACAGAATCCAGGACACCAATGAACTGCGTTTTATTAAAACTGTCTCAACTAATTTTAAAGAGCAGTCCGGTAGTATAACCCATGGATATGGGAAAAGTTATATAAAAAGGATAAATAATCCACCTGCAATGAACCTAATTATGTGCTTCCAATAGTATTTTTTTGAAGATTGAACACTTTTATTGTTGACATTAATGACTAAAACTGACACTTATAAAAATCTTAAAAATTAAATTCAGCAGTGTTTACTTAGCTCTCTAATTACTTAGCTTCCTAAAATAGGTGATATTTTCTTGGCTTCCTATCCATATAGAAAAAAAAAAAACCCAAAAGCAACAATAACAAAGGTATTAACTTATAGAAGCATAGGATACCAGAGCTAGTAACAACCTAGAATCTTTCAACATAATAATCAAGAGATTAGTGAGATGACATCTTCAATAAAACAACTGGAATAAAGGGTTAAAAATCTCTAAAGTGAACTCAGGATACTTGACACAACTCCATTCTGATTCAGCCATCTCTGTCTTATCTCACATTTTCAAAACTTACAGAGAGAATATGGCTTAAAAAGAGTTAAGCAGAAAAGAATCTACTTCAGTTCTCAATCAACCTATCTCTGACAGAAAGTAGCAAAGGGCCAATAAGCACTTAATGGAAGAGTTATCACACTGTCTGTGGTTAGTTGCCCATGCAGAAAGGCTTTTAAGGCATAGAGTGATATATTCTAGAATACTTTATTTCACCTATAATACTTTTGAGATCAGGGAAAAAATTGTCACTTGCCTCTTGAAATTTAGGGTTATAATTTCAGCTATTATTTTATGATCCCTACAAATTCAAGAACGTATTAGTAGCTCTTTAAAACTGAGGTACAGAGTACTTCTTACTATGGTAAAAGGATAGATGGATGTTTAGAGCCAAACACTTAAGGGAGAAATGATGACCTAAGCTAAGTGGGAACTGGAGTTTTCTATGTCTGCCTGTGAAAGGCATCAAGTTGAAGCCTGAAGGGAACCCAGAGGATTATTCATTAGACAGGTGGGATACTGAGTAAGCAGGCTCTGTCACTGTGACTGAATTAGCAGTCAGACAGGTTACACACTGTTGAGATTAGACCAATGTTCTACGAATATTTGCTAAACTAGTTTAAAATGATCAGAACTAAGTAAGGAAACATTGTGTTCAAATTCAATCTAATTTGACTTGTACTTCTGGTTTATGAGAACTTTTCTGAGGCTTTGCTTTCCAGACCATTAATCTTCACAGGAGTTCTCTAAAATGGCTTCTATCCTTCTTCTAGTCCTATCATCTACCTTTGCTTAGGAAGATAAATACACAATGTGTTTTTAAGTAGACTTTAGGAAAATGTAGGCTTTATTTGAGAAGAAATCTTCATTTAGATATTTAAGGAGATTGATAAATTCTCTAGAAAAAGTATGGGTTACTTCAAAATAAATGTTCTCATTCTTAAACTTAGCTCTATTGACATTTCCTACTCAAATGTTTCAATTTCTTAAGAGTTTTGATCTTTGAACTTCTCAGTCACCAAAAAAATAATTTCTAACAGACAACTCTTTTTAAGGCTGAGGAAAAGATTAGTAATTAGTATCCTTAAGAAGTATATGGCCTCTATTATTGCAACAGTTCTAGAAGGTGCCACAGTGCATAATAACACACACACACACACAAAAAGAGAGAGAGAGAGAGAGAGAGAGAGAGAGAGAGAGAGAGAGAGCGCTTCTCAAGTACTAAGAAGACATTATATGTGGCCTCATTTATACACAACTGTAGCCTTCAGAACTATTTTCATTTCATTTAGTTTACACTATTTTATTTTGAAAAAAAAAAACAAAACAAAACCAGAGTATTATATATAGCTTTTAAAAAATGGCTTTCAAGTCATGAGAATGAAAAGTATTTCAAGCACAAACGTTAAATTTTTTTATGTGATATGTGGGAATATACACTACTAAGAAATCTATTTCTAGACTCAGTTTTGCCTGTAACCAACTACACAGTTTCTTGCAAGTTAATTATTATTCTTAAGCTGTGAAGAAAGTAATTTATATTCAATGATGCTAAACTTAGCTTTCTAAGAATCTACAATTCAAGTATTCTCAAATACTGTCATAACAGTCCAAATAAATTCCTCTCATTTTCACATATGGAGTTAGACCTTCAGTTTTTGTCTCAATTTGACCTTAAAAAGAAGCCAAATACGTCGAATATTCAAGATATACTTCAGATGAAGAACTGGGTTAAGATTCTTTTCTAAGATGGGATGATGCCGGGCAGGCTGGGAAGCACCAAGCACCTAGGTATACAGGAGAGCTGGTTATTCTCAAGTCCAGAGCACTGACAAAGATTTATGAACGCTTTTAGGGAGTATAGGTTGAAACAGGGCTTGCAGGAGGCTCTAGCAGAGCCTGTCAGATAATCACACCCTCCACCTTTTCAAATTCCTAGTCTCCCAGTCGACACCAAACCAGTCTCCAGTTCCGGGTTTCCAACCAATCACATGAAGCCACAACAGAGGGCTTTGCCAGCCTGTTTCAAGGATCCAGAGAGAGATTCACTGGACCCCAACACCTGTCGGCTTCACACCCTTCTCAGCGTAGGAGAAAACGTTAGGTGTACCCTAGGTCCCTTAGGATTCTGGTGCCCCAAGCAGGTCCTCGACGTCCACAAAACCAAAACGAACTCCAGGGGCCTCAGCGGTGACCTCCCACGTATCACTCACTCCCCCAAGGCGAATTCTCCTATTTGTAGGTTCCAAGCCCTGACTGTGGTTTCGCAGGCCTCGTGGACCGCAGGCTTAAGAAGCCAAAAGAACGGCGAAAGAGAAGGCAGTGCCCAGGGGTGCACGCCTCGCCAGCGGAGGAGAGTCGAAGCAAGCAGGGGCTGCACGGTTCCCCCTCGCGGAGGGCGGGAGGTGGTCAGGGACACACTCGGAGGGTTTGTCATCCCCACATACACTCACCAGGAGCAGCAAGGAGCATCTGAGGTCTGGTAAAGACAGGAAGACGGCAGGATTCATGGTAACGATGGGGTCGACAGCGGGGTCAGGAGGTGGCGGCTAGGACTGGACCGGGCTAGAAAAGGGCTGGGCTCCGGGGCCGGCGGCAGCGGCACCTCGTCCTCTTGACCCGGAGCTCCAACGGCGAACACCCGAGACAACTTCCAGAGAGGCCTCTCACGCCCTCACTTCCGGGTCCTGCCCATCTCGAAGCACGTCGGGAAATGTAGTTCATATTGCTCTCACTGACCATATCATCGGAGAGCTGGGACTCTCTTTCCCAGTAAGCCCTGTGCCCAGGACGACCGAAGCAACTGTGCGCGGGGCTCTTCGGGATTGGAAGGGGCCGCGTACCTCTGTGCCTCTGGGGACAGGAACTACAATTCCCAGAGGGCTGTGCGGCTGCGAGCTTCAGGCTTCATCTTCAGCGCTCCCGGGCTATAGTGTCCTGGGGTCTGTTCCTGTGGGCGCAGTGGTCTAACTTGGCGGGAGGGCGGCCCTGTGAGGGTTGTGCCTCCTGGGGCGGCCCCAGGACGCCAGTCTTGGAGGCAGGGGTGAGTAGGAAGCGGTCCGGCACCGGCGGCTCGGGTAAGGATGGAGAGCACCGCCCCGGGCCGCTGCTGCGTTTCCTTGGCCCGCCTGATCTGAGGTGTGGCCTGAGCTTCCATCCCTGGCCTCCAAGCTGCTGCCTCTTCTTTCTGCGCTACTTCCTCCGTTATATAAGGAGAATCACCACTGGGGCTTCAGTCAATGACTTATCCAGGGTTGTTTCAGAGGGTCCGTGAAAGGAAAAGAAAAGGGAAGAGAAAGCGTGTTGTAAACTGTAAAGCCCAGTGCCTAAGTGACCGTGACCAGTTCTTACAGTACAATTCGAATTAACCAAGTAGTAAAGGATTTTAACTTGGTGTCTGGTAGCTTTCCAGAATCTTGTGTGAATATCCAGCCAGATCCATGTGCCTGGAAAGTTAGCCACATCGTCACTACCTAACACCTAGGAGGCATTCTGCATTTGTGGTTCTCCCGGCTCCAGTTGTTTGCTTCAGCCTTCCTGCTGCCTGAGGTGGCCTTACCCTTTTTCTTTCTGGCTTATCATCTCAAGTGTAACAATTTCTGACATTTGATTCCCCTGACATCTGTCACAGCCACCAAATCTTTCATCCTAACCAGAATTGCTTTTTCTGTGTGTGAGCTCAGCGCCACTACGTTTGCATAGTAGCAATTAGAGCGTTTATTGCACAGGCTTATTTTATAATTATTTAATGATGATGATACATTTTAAAGCACTAACAAAGTGGCTTTGATTCCTTACAATAAAAAATTACTTATTGGGGTAGGGACAGCAAGGAAATTAGCATTTCTGCTAAAGGAGGAGGAAGAAGAAGAAGGAGAAGGAGAAGAAGACAACAACAAAGAAGCAGCAGCAGCACCTACAGGAGGAAGAGGAAGGGGAGGAGGAGGAGGAGGAGATGATGACAATGATGAAGAAGAAGCAGCACCTAGAGGAGAAGGGAAAAGAAGAAGAAGGAGATGTCGACAATGATGAAGCAGCAGCAGCAGCACCTAGAGGAATGGCTTTCCCAGGGAGACAAAATTAAAGTGTAGTGGAGCCAAGATTTAAACCCACTACTAAATGCAGTGGTCTTATCAATATAACATTCATTGCATTCTCTGACCTAACTCAAGTTTCATTAAAATTAGAAATTTATAAACAGTAGGATTGGTTATGGTGGTACATGCTTGTACTCCCTGCACTTGAGAGGCTGCGGTAGAAGGCTCAGGAGTTTAAGGCCAGCATGGGCTACATAAGTTCCCAAGAAACCTAGTCTTTAAATTTCGAGATCTTATCTTGAAAAAAAAATGGAGAGAAGAAAGAAAAGAAAGGAAGGAAGGAAGAAAACAGAACTCGTTACTCCCTGAAGCTAAACTTTGATCTGATTTACCCTTTGGACTTGAGGCTCACTCTATGATGTTTCATTCAATAAACTTTCACTTAGCACCAGCTGAATACCTATTACTGTGCTAACTGTTAAAATTATGGTTAAGCACATAGAATTATTAAAGAGATAGAGATAACTATTTTAACAGTTTTCAAAGTATCAAATAAGTGTTTTTGTTGTCTGGAATGCCTAAAACTCTGTTCACATTGGATCCACAATGATGTTTTAGAATTCAGAAATACCTAGAATAGTTGGCACTCTACTTGTTAAATAAACAAAGTTAACCTTTTTAATTTTTCATATTTTCAAGATCTAAAGATACTGATGATCATTAACACAACTGGACCAGGAACTCAATTGTATTCTCCTACTTTTACCTCAATTGTTTTGTAGTCTCTCAAGTGATTTGGTACAATCTTACATGACACTCTTTGTTCTAACATGACAGACATGCTCAGACAAAACAGAAGTGTCTCCCAACACCATCTTCTGTATTTTTTACCTGCAATGTTAACTCAGCAAATTAAATGAAAAGCTAACCTTTACCATAATTTACTATTTTCTAAATTAGAACAGCAATTCTTGTCAGTTGCAAAAGAACTGTGTCAGAAACATATGCAAGCATATGTTTGCATTGAGTCTTTCTACAATGTCAGATTTTAGTGAATGACAATAAATACATGAAGTATAGTGGGTCCAATGGTAGCCTTTTGCTAGCTAATGCCGCCTACTTTGGTAATCTGGCCAGGGCATCTGTTTTGGGTTTTTTTTAATTCCAATCTCAATTACTATTATTAACTTTCATATCAAAATGGCACACAGTAAATATGCAGATATGTGATTTATAGAATAAATACAATGTAAAGAAGCTACGACAGTGCAAGAAGTTTCAGAAGTGGACTGATCAAAAATTCAAGCGTATTCTGTTTTGATAAGTAACCGCTCTAAAACAGTTTTAGAGCAAGTTGTTGGCTGTTTAAATCAGACCACAAGAGAGTCAGGGTAGAGGGAAAAGATATAGTCAGCTGCAGAAACAAGAGGACAGAACCAGATTAGAACAAGAACAGTAGATTCAGGTCCAGACAGGCTAGCAGGTGGATGGGCAGAAAGCAGCCAAGTAGGGCAAGTCACCAGCCAAGGACCCAGCTGACCCTCCAGGAGAGTTGAGAACCATGCCTGCCAGTCCTTGATGCACACATACACTAGAATTCAGAAGATAGTTTGGTGAGAGCCATTGCCTCTGCATTGCTAGGTGTCTTCCACTCCATGGTAAGGAAGTTACAACCCATCCTTGGTCTGACATGTCCAGTAAGTCCTTGGGGCTGGCTTCCTTGGTATGATTTTAATATGCTCATATCCTTCCATGGTCTCGGTATACCTTGGAAAGTTTATAGGATGCCACCCTCTCTGTTCTCAGAAGTAAGTCATTTATTGGTCTGTGCTTTATGAGTGGTTGCTGGGCAGGAGTTAGGGTTTACTTCCATCCAGGAGCACAGTCATTTTCTACCCTCAAAACAGAGTTGAAAGCAGCTAATGAAGTGGAGTGTCTCAGGACAAGGCACAGGCTAAAAACCCTCTCTTTTATACAATATGGAGTAACTTAAAGCAGGATACTATCTAACCTCAACAAGTATTGCATGGAATCACATTACTACGGTAGCATGTATTAATCTTAGAAGTCAGTGTGACTTTTAAACTCTATGCCTAATGGAAATGTCTTCTTTTCTCGTTCCTTGAGAAAGATATCTAAAGAACCCAATTTTCTAATCTATAGTTAAGCAAGTTGTATAAAAGCCATCTAATTTGCCACATCAGCAGTTGTAGAAGTAGGAGTTCATATTTGGAACTCATAAGACAAGTTTTAGAAGTATTTTCTGCTTGTACTCACTGCATTGTCTCAATTTTCATTTCAGGTCACTAGGGTTGTGGAGAAAACTATGAACATATCAGAAGATGTGCTCTCTACGGGGTCCTCACTAGCATCTCAGGTTCATGCTGCCGCAGTTAATGGAGATAAAGGTGCTCTTCAGAGACTCATTGTTGGTAAGCAGTTCCCTGTAAATGTAAATGCTGTATGTGGTTGGGGAGATGGTTTATTTGGTAAAGCTGTCTGTCAAACCATGAGAGCCTGAGCTGAGATTCCCTAGTATCAATGCGGAAGCCAGTGTGGTACATCTGTAATGCCAATGCTGATGTGAGGCAGACAGGATCTTTACAACTCATCACTGGTCAGCCTGACTGAATTGATGAGCTCTAGGTTCAGTGCCTGTGATACAGCTCAGCAAGTAAAGGGACTTGCTGCCAAGCCTGATGATTTGAGTTGGATTCCCGAGACACATCTGGTGGAAGGAGATAAACGACTCTTACAAGTTGTCCTCTGACTGCCACATGGGCACTATACCACACACACACACAGACACACACACGCAAAGATACACACAGAAAGATGCACACACACACACAGATACACACACAAATATACACACACAGAGATACACACACAGATATACACACACACACATACACACACAAACCCCAAATGAATATATGAATGTAATGTTTTTTAAGGAGAAGGTGGAAAGCAGTCGTAGATGACAGCCAGTGCAGACTGGTGGCTTTCATGTGTACATGGTTACATATACAGATAACAAAGAGATGAGACTGATAAAAACAATTCTGTTCTTAGAGAGTTTACTGATCATTTACATGTGTGATATACTTAAACATTTAAAAACATATTAATAGTTATAGTTTATTCCAGTGCTTGGACAAGAAAGAAATTAAATCCTGAAGGTTTACAACATGGATTAGAATGAAGCAAAAATTACTTGATAAATTTACTATACAATGTATTCAAAGTATTTAAGTCTCTAGGGAGAACATTTTGTTCTCTCTAGAACAAAATGAATATTGTACAGAATTAAATCCAAAATGGCTAAAAACTTTCCAGAATTGTTAAAACCTCCAACCCACATAGTCACAAGTTTCAAAAGAGAACAAATAAAATGGAAATAAACATTATTTGTAATGTTAATATGTGCTACTGTTTGGTGACATCTTGATTGATTACTTGGGCAGTAAATTCAGAAATACTTGAACCTTCATTCTCGTTTCATTTTACATCCCCACATTTCCTACCTGTGAACTCTAACCTCTTGTACGCCTCAAGAGTGTTTCTGTTCTTTGGGACTTTTCTCTATACTCTGTATTCCCCTGCTTCCTACCACCACCGTTTTGGTTTGTTCTCCACTACTAAACAAACTCTTACTTCTTTAACGATAAAATAAATGATTCCAAATTTTGTGTACACCACAAATGTTCCTCTCCCTCTTTCAGACACGTTATGCTCACTTCACCTCAGGCTGCCTGCATCCATAGCTCCTCCTTGGAACTTGACATCTGGGACCTTCACATCACTCGTCTGAGTGCTGTCATTGAACTAAAGCACTTGCAGCTCACTTACTAATGAGAAGCAGTAGTTTCTCCTCCTCCCGAGCCTTGCAGCCTCTTATCTTCCCCGAGCTTTAACCACCAGTCTCTGTGTTTGTCTGTCTCCCTGTTCAGCCTTGATTACTTGGTCTACTACTAAAACTTTCTCCTGGAAAAATTCACGTTTTTGCTCACATCCTGTTTTACCTAGCAATCATACTTCTAAATCTGGATGGACCTAATCTATAAACCCTTGGCAACTCCAGAGCAGTCAGTCATAGCTTGAAAATGTATAATATGCCTGTTTATGATCCCTGCTTCAGAAATCGCTCTACACTCAGCTGCCTATCATATCACAGTCCTCTGTTGTGAATGCTTAGTGCCTTCCTTGTCTGCTGAAATCTCGGCTCCCTGATCCTCCTCCTTCTTTTCTCAGATAATACTGTGTGATCCCTAGAGAAAAGGAGACATTAAGTAGGAACTCCTTCATCTTGTAGAATAATATCTACAAATCTCCCTATATTTGTACCTATTTCCTGACAAAATGGAAAATATTCAGCTTCCTGTCAAAGGTCAGTTCTTCCTGCCAAGTTCTTTATTCCCTTCTTCCCGGGGAATTCACTATACTTTGTTAAACTTCTGATGACATCTTCAACCGTTTTTCCATTCTTCTATTAGAAATTTTCCTTAATAACATTTAAATGTGCTGTGGTTGCTAGTAGTTAGAAACACCGTCTCTGTCCTTTTATCTGCCTGTACATATTGCTATATCTCTCAGCTTTGCCTTACAACTGTATTGATGCACAGCTAAACTGCCACAGCAATGAATTGAAGAAGTCAAATATAAAATCTTGCTCATCATAGTAGTAAAAGGTACATGGGATAGATAGGAATCTCTGCTTCACAGAATCGGCCAGAGATACTGCCTGAGCATGGCTCTGCAGAACACAGCATTTGTGTGGTTTGCTTGGTGGTTAGAAGGCAGACACTGTCTTTGCAGTGAAAGTCATAATTCTCAGAATGAGTGCAAAGAAAGTAATTTATGAAGAAGGTAGACTAAAATTAAGGACAGAATCATACACTAGGACAAAAGAGGCTGAAGAACCAGTCTTTTCCAGGTTAATGCGATACCTCATTAAAAACCAGAGTACACAGTTCCAAACAAGCAAAATAAGATGTAACCTCCTCAGAGTTAAAGAACAGTACGTTGTTAGCTCTCCAGCAGTCACTTTGTTATCTTGCAGGTGTTTGTTGGAGACACATTTCATTTGGCTCAGGCTGACTCCAGACTCCCATTGTAACTTGAGGATGACATTGATCCTGAGCCCCTACCTCCTACAGGCTGGGATTTTAGGCCTGCCCCTGTAATACCTCCCTTTGCTCATTCTTTTATTCTTTTCTGTTTTGAGAGTCAAGTCCAGGACATGGCACATGTAAATACATATTATACCCCTACACCCATCTTGACTTTATAATAATCATACTCTTGTTTTCCCCTTTTTGAATTTTTACTGAATGTTTCAGCTCTGCTTGATCTGAAAAAGAAAATGTCTGTATTGTTACAGTCTTTCCTGACTTATAAACTCTTTCATTTCTTGTCATCATGCTTGAAACAATGTTTAGAAGACCACTTGTACTTCTTTGCCTCTGCAGCCTCCCCTTGCACAAGTGTTTCCTAGGAAAACTTGCTTTCTTTCAGCTTCTCCTTTCTCCCAAGCCCTTTTCCATCTCAAAGCTTTTGCCTGCTATTGTCTGTCAGACTAACTCTTAATCACCGTCATGCTCTGTACCATAAAGCCACTTCTTCAAAGAGAACTGCTCCAATAATCCATCTCAGTTCAATCTCCGCGTTGCATCCTCTCCTGGCACTCCAGAGGCTTCCATCATAGAGTATATAGATGACTATTTTAATGTCTTTCTCTTCCACGTAATCTAGTGACTTCTGCAAGAGTAGACTGAATATTTAATTTGTTACCATATCTAGCACAGTATTTGACACATAGTAGGCATGTGAGAAACATTTGTTGAAGAAATGGGTAAATATTATAACTGTTATTTAATTATCTTTTCTACCCAGTAGTCTATGATTACCTTAAGGGCCAAGACTAAAATTGAATTGAATTGAGTTGAATTAAATTGAATTGAGAGACAGATTGAGACAGAATCCCCTGAGGTGGGAAAAATCTGAATCAGAGTACCTCAAGAAAACAAAGAACCATACAAGATGACTTCTTCATTATTTTAATGAAAAATTAAATATTCAAAAGAAAACAAAATGTGTAATTGTGTTAGTTCATTCATATAAATTAACCAAAATGTTTCATTGTAAAACTTGAAACTTTCCTATCATTTAATATACCCAAAAGAAAATTCTTAAAAACTAAAAAACATAACATGTAACAAGTATAGAGCTAATGTTTTTGTCACCTTGGCCAGGAAACTCCTGTCTCCTTGTTATCTGAGAGACATTGCTGGTCTTTTCCACACCATGCTATCGCTATTGTGTTTCCTGTGCATGCAGCCACGCCTTTATTCTGTGGCATTTCCCAACTTGTGTATGTTCATGCTAAAATATCTGTTCTGTTTGATCTTAAATTCAGTCTATTTTAAATACCTTTTTACATACCACATGTTTGATGATCGCTACATATGTGCTATTTCTCTTTCCTAAACTAGTGTCATAGTACTACTAATGAATTATTTTTCTTGGATCTTTGTTCACCAGCTGCTCAGTGACTTCATTCACTTTAGCATTTTCTGTTTTCCCATCTCTGTTTCCATGGAGAAGTATGCCAGAGATGCGTTTGATTCCATGGAAACGGATGACTGTCTCTTTCTACTTACACAACTAATTAAATCGAACACTTTCTGAGCTGCCCATTGTCCTGGAGGAGACTGAAGAGGCCGCCTCTGAATGAAACATCTTTTTAGTAGCAGTCCTTACTGTTCCACCTAACACAATGCTGGCATGGATGCTCTAGCATTTTCCGCTTCCTAGCTCACCCACTGACCCATCAGCTACAGCTTTTATTACACTGTCTACCTTCTGAGCAAGCATAATTTCTCTGAATCATTTCCCCATCTCTGAATCACTTAGGATCTCTGAAGTTAGATACTGAGTGAGCCCTGTAAGTGGCAGAGTCCAGGTACTATTTCAAGTATTTCTTCCTTTACCTCAACCTTTACCTTAAATTAAATTCAATATTTTATGAGATGTAAAATTGTTATAGCAAAATATTTAATGATTTAAATTTTCTAAATGTGATTGTTAAAACACAGTTGACACTCTGCTAACAGACTCAACTAATTGAAGATTGGAGATATTTGGGGTTAAAACTTGTCTATACTGGACAATGTATAGACTGTTTTCTTGTCTTTTTTCTCCAGACAATATTCTAAAATGACTCTGGGACCTTTACATTGTATTAGGTATTATAAGTAATCTAGAGACAATTTAAGAAACATGGAAGAACACTACGCCAGTACTATGTACTTAAAAAGGACTTGAACATCTACAGATATTGGTAGCTAGAGAGCCTAGAACCATTAGCATCCCCTGGACACCAAAGGAAGACTATGTACATGATTATATTGGCTAGTATTAGTAATAAACT